GCCCAGATCTCAACATGATGGACTCTTTCTTATGGACCTTTACCTGATTTTCTAGTCCAAAATGGTTCATTAGTCACTGTATCAAAACACCATCTTTATTTTCACCTTAGTAAGGTCACCACCTCTGTGTTTGTTTCTGTCTCCTTCACTAAAATGCAGACTCTGTGAAAACTGGCATGTATGGCCTTGTACTCTTGCACCATTCTAAGCAATTTATATATGATAAGGTATTTATTTCCTAATCCTATCCTAATCATAACCCTATGAGATTAGTTCACTATTATTACCCTTATTTTACAAATGATTAAACTGAAGCAGGGAAAGACTGGTAACCTGTTATGAAGTGACAGAGCAGGGTTTTAAACTCAAGCAGTCTGACTCCAGAGTCTTAATTCTTTTTTTTTTAATTTTTGTTACTTAGTTTTTATTTTATAATCATAAACTTAACTTTGCAATTCAGTTAGATTTGGAGGGGAATAAGGAAAATATGGAACCCAAAGAACTGCAGTGAGAGCACAGGTTACAGGACATAGCGAGCAGATGGGGTGGAGGGTGCTCTCCTGAGCTACAGAAGGAGTGGTCTGGTGGTTAAGAGAAAACAAGTCGAATCCTTCACAGTTGTCCACAGTCAGCAATGGTGATCATCTTGCTGGCCTTGTCATTCTTGGCCCCAAAGCGCTCCATGGCTTCCACGATATTCATGCCCTCTTTCACCTGGCCAAAGACAACATGCTTGCCATCCAACCACTCAGTCTTCTTGCCAGTGCAGATAAACTGAGAACCATTTGTGTTGGGTCCAGCATTTGCCATGGACAAGATGCCAGGACCTGCATGTTTCAGGATGAAGATCTCATCATCAAATTTCTCACCATAGATGGACTTGCCGCTAGTACCATTATGGCGTGTGAAGTCGCCACCCTGGCACATAAACCCTGGGATAATTTTGTGAAAGCAGGAACCCTTATAACCAAATACTTTCTCTTCAGTGCTCAAAGCACGAAAGTTTTCTGCTGTCTTTGGAACTTTGTCTGCAAACAGCTCGAAGGAGATGCGGCCCAAGGGCTCACCTTCAACAATGATGTCAAAGAACATGGTAGGGTAGACCATGTTTGAGGGCGAGACACTTGAGCGGCGGCGTCTGCAAAGCCAAGCCTTACTTCTTAATCACTTTCCAAATGCCACCTTTACAGGGAGTTGGGGAAAATTATTCAGTTAGTTGATGTCTACTAAAAAGCAGACCTCAAGGTGAGATTAAATATACAAGAGACTTTTTGGTGGAAACACCAGTCAGAGAATATGGGAAAGGAACCAGAGAAAGCTGGAAGAAAAGTTAGAACATGATAGAGTTCTGACCCTTGTGAAAGAGAGAGGGAGACAAAAAGAAAAATGGAAAGAAAGAACAATCATAGATTGAGGTATAATTTTCTGAAGGTTTCAAGAGAGCCAGGAAGTCCTCAAGCTGGAATCACCTAGTAGAAGAATCCCACCTCTTCCAGGACCTGGCTTGCCTTAGAACCTCTGCCATGGTCAGTCATTATCTGGGAGAAGTCTGTGGGAAGTGTGACCGCAGAAGGAATTTGTTCTGGGTCTTGAGCATGGCAGCTGGGACTATCATTTACTAGCATTTCTTAGAGTAGGAGACCTGAGGTTATATTTTCATAGTGTCAGAGACATTGTCTGACTCATTATAGTATCTCCAACATATAGACCAGTGTCTAGCACATAGCAGGCTCTCGCTAAATCATTGTCAATTAAATGAATCAGCCCTTGGAACATATAAGGTACTCAATAATTGGCAAATATGGATAAATAAATAAATGAAAATGAAAAGCAAATAAAAACAAGTCTAAGTAAGTAACTCCTCTGCTGCTTCTCTCCTCTCCTCATAGCTCCTCTGGTGAAAAGCAAGAGCAGGGGAAATGGGATTAGGATCACAGGAGACAAAGTGTATATGCTTCACCCTTTCCCCCTGGTAATGTTCCATTTAGGCCATGATTTACAAAGACATGTAGTTTGCTCCAGGGAAAAGAATGAGACTTGGCTGTGGTTTGGGCAGGTGCATTTACAGACACTTCAGACCACATTTCAAGCACTTAATCCACATGAAATAATGATAGTTCACTCTCCTGAACCCATTCCAAGCTGGCTAGATATATAGCTTGATGTAATGTGTCACAGAAGCTTCAGGCAGGGTGTCTAAGGCTCACAATTTCCTTTTCTTCTCTCTTTTCTTCTTTTATTTTTGGAGGGAGGGGTGCTTAAAATAACACAATTTATTCTCCTATTGTTCTGGAGGCTTGAGGTCTGAAATAAAGATGTCAGTAGGGTCATGTTCCCCACAAAGGCTCTGAAGAAGTGTTTCTTCTTGCCTCTTTCTTGCTTCTGGTGGTTGCCAGCAATACTTGCATTCATTTTGTTTTAAAACTTATTTATTTATTTCTTGAGAGAAAGGAGAGAGAGAAACTCCCAACGGGGTTCTGATACCAAGATCCATATCCGGCCTTCAAACAATCTTAGGTCACAGGCACATGATGTGTGCATAGCATATTTAAGGAGGTCACTAGACTTGAACTGGGACTCTCCCCATGTAAGATTGTTTTGGTTTATCACTGCCCCACCACTTGGCCTCCATATTCCTTGACTTGTAATGACATCATTTCAATCCTGCCTTCTTGTTACATGGCATTTTTTTTTGTCTCCATATCTAAATTTTCTTTTCTTTTTTTAAATTTTATTTTTAATTATGATAAAATATACATAACATAAAATAGACCATTTTGGCTATTTTTAAATGTACAGTTCAGTGCCATTAATACATTTATATTGTTGTGCAACCATCACCATTGTCCATCTCCAGAACCTTTTTCATCTTATAAAACTAAAACTCTGTACCCATTAGATAACAATTCCCCTTCCTTTCTACCCCCAACCTCTAGCAGCCACTGTTCTATTCTCTGTCTCTATCAGTTTGGCTACACTAGGTGCCTCAGGAGTGGAATCATACGGTATTTATCTTTTGTGATTAACTTATTCTACCTGGCATAATATACTCAAGGCTTATCTATGTTATAGCATGATTTGAGGAGGTCCTTGCTTTTTAGGGCTCAATAATATTCCATCCTGTGTTGCGTTATTCTGCTAGGACTACCATAACAAAATACCTCAAACTGGATGTTAAACAACTGAAATTTATTTCTCACAGTTCTGGATGCTCAAAGTCCAAAATCAAGGTGTAGGGAGGTTTGGATTCTTCTGAGCCCTCTCTCCTTAGCCTCTGGATGACTGCCTTCTTTCTGTGTCCTCATATTGTCATCTTTCAAGCTATGCTGTCTATGTCCTAATCTCTTTTTATAAAGGCACTAGTCATATGGCCCACCCACATAACTTTGTTTTCTATCTCCAAATAGATACATTCTTAGGTATTGGGAGCTAAGACTTTAATATATGAATTTGGGGAAAACACAATTCAGGTTATAACATGGTACAGTCACCAAAATTGGGACCTTCATGTGGATACAATTCTATGATGTATTTGATAAACTTTGTTCAAATTTTGCCAATGGTTTCAAGTCATTTTCCTGATCTAGATAAAACACATATTGTATTTGGTTGTCTTTTTTATCTCCTTTAATCTGAAATTATTCCTTGATCTTTCTTTATTTTTTATTACTTTGACAGTTTGAAGAGTACCAATGAGTTATTTTAAACAGTGTCCTTCAGTTTGTATAATGCTTCCTCGTGATTAAATTCAGGTTATGCAATTTGCAAAGATTACTACGGAAATGTGTTCTCAGTACATCAGCATGAGGAGGCACATAACAATCTGTCCTATTACAGGTGGTGTTATCTTTGGCCATTTGGTAAAGGTGATATCTGCCAGGCTCTTCCATTGTCTTTTCCCCCCTTTGTACTAAATATTTTATGGTGAGATATTTTTGAGATTGTGTGGGTACCTTTTTCTCTTATACTTTTGTCTACTAGTTTTTACTTTCGTTGAAGATTCTTGCCAAACAACTATTCCTGTGGTGTTTGCTAAATGGTAATCTTCTGTTTCTAGTATTCTTTCTAAATGTATTCATTGGCATCTAATAGGAGAAATAGCTTTCCTTTCTTAACCAGTTGTTTACCTGTTCAATTATTTATTTATTTTTCTGAGGGCTGAGGGATTTTTATTTTGGTCCATGAGTGATAATTCAATGTATTTTCACTACTCAATATTTTTCTAGATTTGACCACCAGGAGCTCATTCAGTTGGTTCCAGTGTCCTTTTGAAATGGTATTAGTATTTTTTGAGAATTTCCTAGTCTTGGCACTGAAGGATAATCCAGGCTCATCTTGTGCTTTTTCTGTCTAAGCCTTAGAATGTGCCTTTTCTTCAAGGAGACCTGGTTCCTTTTACTGGCAAATAGTATTTTATTGAAATGCTTTTCTTTCTAAATAATGGATACTACATTTACCCTTTGATATGAGGGTATAGTAGCTTCTAGATCCTCTCAGAAGACAGATCTATGGGAACCAGCAGTTAGTGTAATGGCTATGTCACTGGACTCCCATGTAGTTGACTGCGGTTCACATCCCGGACCTGGTGGCTTAAAACTCACGCAGGGTGCGTGTGCGTGAGTGCCCAAGATCCTGAGAGGAGAATGGAGGAGAAGGGATTGTGATGTGGCCATCCCCCCTGAGGGGTGATTTCTTGCTTTCTGTCTCTCTGTCTCTCTCTGTCTGTCTGGCAAGCGCATGTGCCGTATAGCAAAAATCTCTCAAAAACAAAAAACAAAACAAAAAGAAGACAGATCTATAAAATATATGTATGACTACATTCACATATTCACACACACTTTTCACTTCCTATATCTATTTATATTTTTAAAAATAATTATTTTTTATTAATTAATTTATTTATTTTCAATTTGACCAGAGAGAGAATGGGGGAGACAAGGAAGTAAGAAAGCAAGCCACCAGGTGTGGGACTCGAACTGTGGTCGACCATGTAGGAATCCAGCACCTCAACTACCATTCCATTGGATGGCCCCTATATTATTTTCTTTTTAAAAAAAGACATAGGAGGAAAAGAAATCACCCTTAAGAGACTCTCACATCACAGTCCTCCCCACAGCCTTTCCAACTGGCCAGCATCATGGGCCATCTGTGCATGCCCAGCATGTACAGGCTGACTTAGGACACAAACCCTGATCTTCCACATGGCTTCCAGCACTGCAAAGCATTACACCATAGATGGGTTATTGAGGCCAACCATCAGTCTGCATACATTTTTAAACTTAGGGCTTATACTGATGCTTCAACTTCAATCTGGCCTGCATGAGTTTTTGTTTTGTTTCCCCCCTAATATTCTCCTTTTCCTAGCTCCTTTCTCTAGAAAGAGCAACCTACTTCCCATTATCTGTATTTTCTGATTTATACAATACCCACAAAGTAGTTTCAGAATACCTGAACCATAACCCTGTGGAAAACAGACCTACTAACTGAATAGCAATATTTGAGTAGCTTTTCTTTTTTCGTTTTGTTTGTCTTCGGCCTTAAAATATGTAGTCCAACTATTTTCTAAAGTTACTCAGTTATGGGGCTGGATGGTGGTGCAGCAGTAAAATGGAATGCACCTTACCTGTCTGTGTGGGAAGGTTCTAGGTTCCCTTCCATTGTTAAGTTTAATTATATATCTATTTTTTTTGAATATGTGAAACTTAAAATAATTCTAAAGTCACAACAATAGAAACACTTTTCACTTGCAGTGTCACTACCCCTATCCCTTCTACCATGCAGCCCTTTCTTTTCATTTTGTTTTTATCCATCATCTCTAGGTAACCAGTATTAGTTTCTGGTTTACCCATTCCATTTTTTTTTCTTGTTTTAACCAATGAACAATTTTATGTATATTTTCTTATTTCTCAGTTATTACATTTAAAGTAGGATATTAGCAACACTTTTGTGCAGGTTGCTTCTACTTACCTAACCTGACATCCTAAAAATTACTCCTGAAATGATCCAGTCCATGGATAATTCCCTCATTCTTTGTTACAGCTGCTTAGTACTGTGCTCTGTAGAGGTACCATGGTTTACTCACTTGGCTATATTTTGTTATTTAAGTTGTTTCT